GTGACCTCTGGGAGGTTAGATATTACATAGTGTATTAAATAGTCCTTGGCATGTTGTAAAATATGTGTAAAATATGTGTAGAATGTGTGTAAAATATGTGTTATAGAAGGTGTGTAGAATATGTGTAGAATATGTGTAGAATATGTGTAGAATGTGTGTAGAATATATGTAGAATATGTGTAGAATATGTGTAGAATATGTGTAGAATGTGTGTAAAATATGTGTAGAATATGTGTAAGGTGGTACCCGGTACCCAGTACCCAGGTTATACGTAAAAAGTGTGGTAGATTCTTGCGTAACCTCGACAGGTTAACAGAATATAATTTCATAAAGTTCAAGTTTTCGAAGGTTTTCTAAATAACCACAAAACTATAATATTAGTATAACCCGTCTTCCTAATAACCCGTCTGCCTAATAATATTTGATATACGTTTACCTGTTGTAAATGCTAGTAGTTTTATCGTTCCACAAGGTCGTCACTTTACCTCGAACTACGAAGGACTTTCTCACACATCTTGTGGAATATACTGTTATTTCAGGTTGCAGGGGAAGTGAATAATATCAGATCATGTAGTAGGATTGTAGGAAATCCAGGAAAACGTCCAACTTTTGCTGGATTTTCTGCTTTGTCAGCTTACAAAAATTTCATTGAATAACTGGATTACCATTTTACCGCCAGCAATTAACTATATTCTAAATCATCTTAAAACTGTTTCGATCATTGATAGATTTTTTATTAACCAAGAGCTGGAAATTTCAGAGATAGAAGTTCACGCAGCTAATACACCACGCAGCTAATACACCAGCTAATACACCCGTGTCCTGTAATCTGTATTGTGTATATACCATCGGGATACAGGTATTGATTTACCTCCCTGCGGTGAGACACCACTTCCCTCCATCGCCATGTTTGAAGCTCTCTCATCAACTGTTAGTGTTCTACTTCAGAGGGAAGTAAGATATCTTATATTTTACAATTGTTATTATTCCTGTATAACTAATAGATTTTCTAATCGTGTAAAAATCGTGTATTATATTTACTTGTAGTTACCAATTAGGTTATAGTACCTGTAATTAATTACTTGATTACCTGTAACTGCTCAGATCAGGTTTATCTTGGTAGCCCCTCCCGAGAACCATTCCCAAACATCTGTAACCGTAGGGGGCTAGAAGTTTGTAAACAGAGATCTGAACACCACTGGTACTGCCCTTGTTAGACCACACTCTGGTACAGGACACGGGGGCTGCTAAGTCTCCTGAACTGAGGAGAGAACCACGTGATGCCCATATAAGGAGAACTGATGCTGTGTGGTTTAGGCTTCATTCCGCTTTAGAATGGATGAAGATTTTCAGGTCAAAAATAATTGGGACCATGTTTGATGCAGGATCGTGAGCAAATTATCATGGAAAAAGTAAATAAATGAAATTACCTTACAGACTTTACAAGTAAAGCCGATCTAAGAGGTGGCCCAGTACCTTCAGTGATCGTATCACCTAGGAGATAATACCCCGAGGAAGGGACGACACCAGAGTTACCAGGGTTAGCAGGGTTACCAGAGTTACCAGAGTTACCAGAGTTACCAGGGTTACCAGAGTTACCAGAGTTAGCAGGGTTACCAGGCTTCCACAGACTCACACTCTGGTTACTTCCCTCTCCCGCACTACTCCACCACTGCTCGTACTTACTCGTCTGTGTGAACTCTAGCACACATTCGCCTGAGAAAGATTAAAGATGCACAACGTCGCCAATAATGTTAAATGCGTTTCGTAACCGTAAGGTACAGGATCGGAAAGTTTATTTCGTGTTTCGATCCTGGGGTCTTCTTACCTGGGCCTGGGGACCTCAGGCTATTATATTTATGTTCATAATCATAGAGCCGAATAGAGATTCGGCGGAATGACAGGCTGAGCGCAGCCCAGTAAGGGTCTTAGGGTCTTCCAGCTTGACTTTCACTCTTTGTGCTGCACAGTACAGTAGCTTCACCTTAGTTGTTACTGGGCGGCGCTCAGCCTGTCATTCCGCCGAATCTTTATGTTTTAAACATAAAGATTCGGCGGAATGACAGGCTGAGCGCCGCCCATTGTTTATGAACATAATAGCCTGGGGTCCCCAGGTAACTTAGTTGATGACATGACAGGATCAGTGTGCTTTGTATAAATTTGTAATTGTTACACAGCGCTTGAGACATACTTGCGTGCTTAACCTTTATCGCAAGAAATACGTAATTGGAAAAAAATTTTGCATACAATTTTGTTGAATACTGCAACTGCAATATGGGACAGTAAAAATTACTTTTTGGAATTTTGAAATACGGCGGTTTTTCGACCTGACCTGTTTTTTTAAGGGGGGGGGGGGGGGGGGGGGGGGGGGGGGGGGTTCCCCCTGATTTTTTTGTGAAACTTGTTTTGGCGGCCAAATTCTGAAAAATGCCCGGCAAATTTTGGAATTTGGCCGCCAAATGTTTTTAAAGGCCTAACTCAAAATTCTGTCCCAAAACTTAAGGTCGAAATGCGATTCTACGTTGATTCTGAAAATGTCATGTAAAAATATCGAACCCCTATTGAGTTCTATTGTTTTGAGCGAAGTCAGTTTTGCAAATATCGCGAACTGAGATATGCTATGGGCAACTTTGTTCATTTTTTGCGATAATTTGAACACAAAATCCACAGTTAGGTAGATATTGAGCTGATATTCATAGAGAATGTGTAGTATAGGCTTACCTTCCATATAAAGTTGGTTTCATTCAAAAATATTGATATTTGATCAATTTATGGGCCAAAATCGATCAAAATTGGTGCGTATGCCCAAATATGGTCATATGGTTTTTGGCTCATAACTCAGCCAATTTTTGTCCAATCCTGATGAAAATTCATATACGGGTTCAAGGGACCACTAGCTACAAGTAGAGCACCTAAAATCTGGGTTTTGGGCATGTTCAGGGTATTTGGCTAAATTGGGCCTAATTTGGACAAAGTATGGGCGTGGCTGCCCCGCGGGCACCGTTTAGCGGTTGGGGTCCGGGACCCCCTCAAAAGTTCGGTCACCGGTCTTAGTTTGTTGGTCAACTGCTATCTCGAAAACAAGTTTCACAAAAAAATCAGGGTGAACCCCCCCCCCCCCCCCCCCCCCTTAAACGTATTGAATTTGAACAACGATGAACGTCGCTTTTTTTACTCCGTCGATTAAAGTTAAACGTGTCGCAAGTCTTTAGTATAGTAGACTCCTGACGAATATAGAGTATTGTGTAATGATTTTTATATTAAATATTACCTCATTCCCCTAGTGAGTAAGTGGCACTGGCAGTCGATTGTATATTAAAGTATTAAAGGGTTTTAGGCGCTTTAAACTGACGGTTAATGACTAATGAGGTAATCATATAATGTCAAGGGGTTAGGAGAATGACTGGTGAACGCATTAAACGTTCAGACAAATATTAATTAGAGCAAATTATACATGTCAAATATTAAACTTACATGAGTGAAGAAGAATTGAGAAAACCAAAAGGATTTGTTTTACCATAATTTTTCAGCACTTTATAAAAAACTCGCTGTAAAATCGTGAAAAAAGGAATGTACACTGTGGGAATTACATATCATGTAGAGTGAGACTAAAAGGAAATGATCAATTACGTAGTGTAAAATCAAGAGCAGATGTGATGTAATTTGTTGTAATTAGTTTAAATATACACATCTCCTTATATGGGCATCACGTGGTTCTATATTCCCTTATATGGGCATCACGTGGTTCTATATTCCCTTATATGGGCATCACGTGGTTCTATATTCTCTTATATGGGCATCACGTGGTTCTATATTCTCTCATATGGGCATCACGTGGTTCTATATTCCCTTATATGGGCATCACGTGGTTCTATATTCTCTTATATGGGCATCACGTGGTTCTATATTCTCTTATATGGTCATCACGTGGTTCTATATTCTCTTATATGGGCATCACGTGGTTCTATATTCTCTTATATGGGCATCACGTGGTTCTATATTCTCTTATATGGGCATCACGTGGTTCTATATTCTCTTATATGGGCATCACGTGGTTCTATATTCTCTTATATGGGCATCACGTGGTTCTATATTCTCTTATATGGGCATCACGTGGTTCTATATTCTCTTATATGGGAATTGGGCATCACGTGGTTCTATATTCTCTTATATGGGCATCACGTGGTTCTATATTCCCTTATATGGGCATCGCGTGGTTCTATATTCTCTTATATGGGCATCACGTGGTTCTATATTCTCTTATATGGGCATCACGTGATTCTATATTCCCTTATATGGGCATCACGTGGTTCTATATTCTCTTATATGGGCATCACGTGGTTCTATATTCCCTTATATGGGCATCACGTGGTTCTATACTCCCTTATATGGGCATCAAGTGGTTCTATATTCTCTTATATGGGCATCACGTGGTTCTATATTCTCTTATATGGGCATCACGTGGTTCTATATTCTCTTATATGGGCATCACGTGGTTCTATATTCTCTTATATAATGGGCATCACGTGGTTCTATATTCTCTTATATGGGCATCACGTGGTTCTATATTCTCTTATATATGGGCATCACGTGGTTCTATATTCTCTTATATGGGCATCACGTGGTTCTATATTCTCTTATATGGGCATCACGTGGTTCTATATTCTCTTATATGGGCATCACGTGGTTCTATATTCTCTTATATATGGGCATCACGTGGTTCTATATTCTCTTATATGGGCATCACGTGGTTCTATATTCCCTTATATGGGCATCACGTGGTTCTATATTCCCTTATATGGGCATCACGTGGTTCTATATTCTCTTATATGGGCATCACGTGATTCTATATTCTCTTATATATGGGCATCACGTGGTTCTATATTCTCTTATATGGGCATCACGTGGTTCTATATTCCCTTATATGGGAATGTGACGTAGAAAATGAAGAAGAGAACAAGAGGTTAAAAAATCTGAAGATATCGAAACATACCCACAAAATCATTTGAACACATTATCAACATTTCTTAAAAAGTCTTATCTAAAACCAAGAAATCGACAGTTTAATAAAATAACATCCCTCAAATAGCAAATAATATCAATTCAAATAAAATAACTTAACAAAATCTGATCTCTATAAATTCCCCGAGAAAAGTCCTAAGAAAACACGTCATTGTAATAAATCATTTAATTAGAAACAATATCGAGCTTTGGTAAACAATAATGGTGTAAATCTGCTTATAGTTTCAACGTTACGATAGAGACGATCCGCGGCTCCGTGGGAAGCCAAAACATTTCGGACCAAATTATTACCAGGCCTGATATATTCAAGAGAGAAATTCTTGCACAAATAATTGGTTGTTACCCCCGATTAATTTGGCAACATAATTCATTATCAGCGTGTTCCAAGCAAATATATTTAGATTTTCTAAATTGGTCTGAAGTTTACTTCAAAACCTTACCACGGCTAGTCATAAACTAACTGTAACCAAGATGTAATTAGATCGGACGCAGAAATTAGATCGAACGCAGGAATTAGATCAAACGCCGGCGCGAGATATATGTATATATAAATACATTGAAAGCCGCGCCGGCGTTTGATCTAATTCCTGCGTTCGATCTAATTTCTGCGTTCGATCAAATTAAATCTTGGTTACAGGGTCAATTTAACATTAAGGGTCAATTTAATTCAAATATACAATAAAACAGAAAATTGATGACTATGAAGACATGAAGTGTTCATATTGAAGACTATGGAGTGTTTATATTGAAGACTATGGAGTGTTTATGGGTTATTTAACTTTGTTAGTCACATCTACAGTCACAACTTTGGTCACCATTTTGTACACGGGCGAGAGTTTACATTCTTTGTGAAATTCCTCAGCAGACTCGACGGTTTTCAGTTCTTCTCCCCACTCAGCAATAGCGCTCTGTTAATAAATTTAATTAGAATATGTTACTCCGATCAGATGGAATACCATAAAATAGTAGACAGCTAGAGTCTAGACGTACCTTAGTTCCCAAAAATTTGTGTGCCATTATATTGAGCACAATTTATTTGAGCCCGAAAAATTTGGGCAGAAAATTTGAACTCATTTGGGCGACCGAAAATTTGGGCACAAATTCTTCGAAAAATTAACGATTTTCCACTAAAATTTCAGTTAGATATTTGCCTTAGTTCATTATTATTCCTTATTATTCCAGTCATTTTGCTTTCAATTTTAAGCATGTAGGTGGTAGTCTGAGTTGTTTCGCATTATGAAATTTACGATCTGCCCATTAACTACTAAAAAATACAGTGATGATGGCACAGTACAAAATGATAAATATACAATAGTGATATTAGAAGGTTCTATTTTTCTAATTTTCTTCCAAACCTTTCGACCATCTGGTGAGGCGTCATAATGATAATTGTATGTGAAAGGGGTATGATAAGATAGGCTGAGTGTAAGTAGACTAAACTGTCTGATTGAGAGACTAAATATCACTATTGTATATCTATCATTTTGATAGATGATGATCTATCAAACTAAGCGGCACATACGCTTAGCTTTGGGGGAAACAAAGGTGTACATAATTGTGTGTAGCGAACTACTGTAAACCCGGACCAAAGGTCAAGTCTAATTTTAATTAACCAGACATATGCACCATCACATTCTTTGAACTACAGTTACGTGGAATGCTTGTTGCTTAGAAAACTAAAATTTCAAATATTATTTCACTTAGATATGAAGAAAAAGCCATCTTTCTATAGATTTCAGGGCCACAGGCCAAATGCCAAAAGTTTGGTAAGCAAAAAATTTAGCAGACGGAAAAGATTTATGCAATTAATTTGGTCTGCAAAAAATTTGGGCGAGAGGCCCGCTCAAATTTTTTGTCGCCCAAATTTTTGGGAATTAAGGTATGTCTAACGAGGTCGAAGAGAGACGCTTTAAGAAGATGTGTTTTAACTTTTGTGTCCATCGCATCAGTTCCATTGACAAAATGCATATCATCATCACAAACTGATTAATTCAAATGTGGCAACTGGCAACTGGCCAATATGGCAACTGGCCAATGTGGCAACTGGCCAATATGGCAACTGGCCAATGTGGCAACTGGCCAAAACCCACCTTGGAAAGGAGCGTCATGTTAGGAACACTGCTGTCTGTTTTGGGTGCAGAGGTCTCACTAGCACTGGACTCGTCATCACTCTCATCTCCATCCTTGTTCTCATCCGATGTAGAGGAGGTGCCCTTAGGGTTACCTTCAACCTGATTTTTTTGATTTGAAACTTTTACAAATAGTACATATACAATACAGCAAAGATAAATTAAAATAAACGACATCACATCATGAGGTATTATGCTGTGTAAAAGTCGTAGACCATATTGTAGAAATACTAAAAGCATGGGTAAGTGGTACAAGTTCTGGGGGAATTAGGGAAGTAGAGGTAAGCTATAAATTAAGCTATAAAGTAAGCTATAAATTAAGCTATTAAGTTCAAGAAGAAGGGAAAAAATCAAGATTCAAGGGGCTGAGAGTTAGATTTAACAAGACGGTAATATTTTGAATTTTCGGAACTTTGATTTTTACAGAAATGGTGTTTAGTTATCTGTTCTATTGAATAGCTCTGGGAACGAGTCTGCCAATAACAAGACTCGATCAAAAGTATGATAACTGACTGTTTCCCAGCTCTACAAGGTAATTTTACACCACGTGACATGAATTCACACCACGCAGGGTTTATGTGAAGTAAACAAGAAGGTTGTTACCTGAACACTAAGTTTTCTGACGTTTCTAAAGAAAAGATTGTAGCAGAAGCTGATCATCTCACCTTTCGTCAACTTCTTCATTACCTCCGCCACCCTCTGGTCTCTGTCAAAAATGTATTCCTGGGAATTAGCCAATTAGACAGAGGTTCAGTTGATCTAGCAATCAGTCTGCCAGTCAGTCTGTCAGTACTGTAACCAGTAACAATTCACAACACTGTGTTTGGTGCCAACATTTCAGCAAGTCTAATTAAATTGCAATACCAATATAAACTGTATTAATAAAGTCTCCATATAAAGTCTTATCTCACTTTGATGAATCTGATCCCTACAAAAATAGTAGTTAACGTTGGCTCGCGTTCAGGGCGCCCGTATCTATATAATTTCATGACATTTGATGAAATGAGCCTTATCGTTTCTTCACCTAACACTGGGGGAGGGGGGGGGGGCAATCAAACAAATAAATATTTCTAATACCATACTGTAACAGACTCTGAAATATTGCTAATCGCTAATTATTTCATCATAACTCAAGTTTTAGCTATTTATAAGCCTTAAAAACAGCGATGCCCATTGATGCCCATGCCCATAATACCAAAAGTTGAGGAATAAATGAGCAATGCCCCCCCCCCCCCCCCCCCCCCCCACATCACGAAGACCTTAACTATGCAGTAGATACGTTCATAATCCAGTATGTTGCCTTCAGTTTGGGCCTCAATCTTTCTCCTATGCTCTTATACTCTACGCAGAATGAGAAAATTATCCGTTTGCAATGATAGAATTATGGCCGCAAAACTTTGGTAATTGAATTTTAACATAATGATTATTTCATAGTCTGTCACAAATATCTGAGGACATGGAGAAGGTATAGTAGTAGTAGTATGGGAGTAGTATATTATAGTCTGTCAATACTTATTTATAGTGGTACTCCTCTGTACACGTGTAAGTACATTTCTGAACCCGACTTAAGTGCGTTTTTGTAATTAAGTCTCAAACTTGAAACAAAATAAATTAACTTTGGGAAATACATAAGTTGAGTTTCAGAAACACTTTTACGAATTCTACTTAAGTCGACCATATACTTAAGTGCCACTTAAACGTTTTTTCGGAAAGGACCCCCTGGACCACGATACTTAAGACAATGAGAATGAAAAGTAATGTTTTAGGAATGTTGCAAGGACTTTAGAAATTAATATTATTTTAGAAATTAATATCATTTTAGAAATTAAATCTTATTTTAGGCGGTCTATTATACCGCCTAAGATCTCTGTCGTTCTTTAACTGTCGTTTAATAACAGTCGCTATTCTTATGATACATATAAAACACTTACATCAATCTTATTGCTACATCTATGATTATGATAATCTTATGACACCGTGTGTAGGATACCTGTATGAGGATTTCAGCCCACATGAGATTTATCTCATCATCCATTGCAAGGGTGGGGCTGACTTTATCTTTTATCATCTCCGAAATTCTGTCCTCAAAACTCTTCTCATCCATCGCATCTGTAAAAATACAGTTGAAAATACATAACGTTAGTGATAATCGATTTTATTAAGTTCGAAGTGCATGCAGTCTTACAAAGTGTTTTCCATTTATTAAAGTCTTTTGGTTGAAAGGGGAGAACAATTTATCAGTGGAAAAGTAGATAAGTTTCTTGATACTTGACGAAATACATGGGTTATCTGACCACGCACAAGCACCAATGACTATCGTCCATAATGACCGTTTTCAGGGAAATTATCGGTAAATCATAAATGTTTGCAAAAAGACATTTTTTGTTCACTCTTTTCAGCGATTATACACTATATACAAATTTGCTTTTAGCGCTTACATTCTTTTGCTTGTATCATTTATTTAATTCTTCTTATATCATAAAGAATCTAATGATTATCTTATACTACAGATATATTATTAAAACTAACTCAAGTATTGAGTGAACCAAGATAGGAAGGTCTCCAGGTAGATGTTAGCTTCTTTAGCGCTAAACTTGTTCGCTTGTGTGTGGACCGCTAGAGAGAATCCTGTCATTCCAAAAGTCAGATGATTTTCCAGCTCCACACTGTACCTAATAGGAATGATCGATGAATAATCCAGGGAGGTTGTGTAAAAAAGAAGTAATTAGTAACTGCAGTTAGCGACGGTATTATAGTAGGTACAAGTACGTTACTCCTCAGTGCGCTGCCAGCGTTTTACAAAGTCCAACGCGCATACACATAGTGGTGACAATGGAAAAAGTTAACTTTCAGCAATGCGCGCTACAAAACCTAAAATATTGGCGTGTGACGGTTGCCAACATTACATGTAGCCCATTAAAAACTGTGGTTACTGATGAGCAATGATTTTAAGCTCTTAATTCTTAGCTTACCCCATCTGCAATCTTGTTCGCAGCTGATTGAAGAAGGGTTCAGTCATAAGGCCCTGAAAAAAAATGTTGGAATAAAATACTTGGAGTAAACTTGAATCATCAAAAAGCTTCAGAAATGAGCAATCAACACCTATTTCCACTACCAACAGAAAAGCAAACAAGCAAAAACTCGGAAGTTTAGATCAAACCTCCAAAACTGCAAGAATAACACCGTCCCTGAAGGACACAACATCGTGCTGATAGTAGTTAACTACAACTGTGTTAACATCCTCTGGATTGTTGTTCTTTATCCTGTGCACGTGTCTTCCTAACGGGAACTGTGGATATTGTTATCAGCTAAGTAACAGTATAAATAAGAACATTTTATAGTTTAAACTTAACATTATTGTAGAATTCATAATAATAATCTAGCTTATTAGTTGTTAGTGTCTGGCAGGTCAGCTGGTTTTATTGATAAGTTATTCAAAATGTGATTTTTCAACTGATTAGCTTCTCATATTTTGGTTGGTGAGCTCGTGAGGGTGTGTGGGCCAAACGACCACCCCGCTACCCCCGCTACCCCCGCTCAGTGGCGTAACGAAAGGCCCCGTGTGGGACAATTTCGAAAAACTTAACTACGGTACTAGCAAAACTGCGTGTTTTGCTCTAGAATCGAGTGCTCAAGGGTGGGTTTGAGAAACACTTAAAACCTCTGTGTAATTTGATGTGAAGTATGTTTGAGATGTATCCACATTTTCACGCCAAATCAATGAACCCCTGGCACTGCTTGTTAATGCTTAACGCCTGTCTCTCATTTGCAACAATCTGTTAAAATATTTGTCGAAAATGCTTAAAAATCTCCGATTTTTAAGTGGTCTTTAAGCACTTTTGTCAGAAAACGGTAGTTATATTGTTGCACCTAGAGTTTATTGCAAGTTCCATTGTCGCACAATTAAATTGGTAAACAGTAAGAATTCAATTAATCAAGATGTGTGGATAACGCGATTTTGAAGCAAAATTGTGCAGTTTTGATGCATCCGTTCCAAATTCCCCTGAGTCAGTCGAGGAAGCTCTCGCTAAATGTACCCACAACCAGCCTCTGAAAGTTGACTCTTTTAGAGCAATAAATAATTTGTAAACGAAAAGTTGTCAATCTAATCTTTCTAAGAGCGTTAATGGAATCATTTGATTTACTCTGATGAAACCAGTGCGATTAAAACTGTCTTGTAATTTGCTGAGAATCCTCTCACTCAGTTTTCAGTTTTATGATAGATATCTACTAGCATAGTCGTCGTTCTCAACCATTTAACCAATTTTTGCATATGTTATGTTAAAGGAAATGACACGTGTCGTTCAGTGTCGTCACACTATTTTCAGAGGAAATGATTAAGGGGAAGTCACTTGCCGGGGAAGTGGTAAACTGACTAGCTAAACAGTTTAGTTCAGTTATACTGATGTAATACTGATGTTATTTTATTGCGCTTAATGTATTTCTCTAGTTTTGTAACGTTTTCAGTTTGTCCTCAGGCCACGGAGATAAGATAGTATATTCTCCAATTTATAGGGACAAAAGGCCATACTGATGTAGAAATTGGAGGACGTGCATGATAACATTGTCTAGAATGAATCTATGTGTAGCTAACGTACGTTATTTTATCTGAAACAGTGAAACTTGTTTTCGTGATAGTAGTTGGCCAACAAACTAAAACCCGTGACCGAACCTTTTAGGAGTCCTGGACCCAAACTGCCCACCTGTGCCTGCGGTGCAGCAATTCCCATATTTGGTCCATTCTTGGCCAAATCACCTCAATATGCCCAAAACCCAGATTTTGATCCGGAATCGACAAAAAATTAGTTAAGAGCAAAAAGCCGTATGCTCATATTTGGGAATACGCACCAAATTTGATAGATTTCTGCCCATAAATTGGTCAAATATCAATATTTTTAAATGACACTAACTTCATATGAAAGGTAAGCCTAAATTACAAGACCGCCAAAAATAACAAAATTGCCCATATCTCAGCTTGCGATTTTCGCTAAATTGTCTTCACTGAAAAGCCTAAGGCTTTTACATTATTTAATATTTTCATATAGTGATATGAAAATATTAAATAATGTAAAATCCTTAGGCTTTCATGTTTAGGATAAGTGTAGAATTGCACTTTGCACTCCTAACATAACTGCATAATATCATAATGTACCTCTTGATTCAAAGATCAAAAATATCAAATTTCTATTAGGACACTCACTTAGGAAGAAAGGGGGTAATTCCGATTATGATTTTAGTAATTTAAATTATGATCTATCATCACGTGTGATATTAATCCCCTAATGATATGCTTGTTGTGGACATTTTATTTTTTATTACACTATTTGTCTTTATAATTGAAGAATGGAACTAACAAACATTATCCAGAGCATTAGTACAAATCCTCTAGGAACATAAATATGAAATATAATTAGTTATACAGTATACACCAAATATTGCGAGAAACATCATCAGATGAGGCTAACGTTACATACACATACATGCTACATGAAGAGGTCTCCTCCTAGTCGTTGGAGTGGCCTGCATCACACACATCTCTTCTACGGCGTAACATGTTTGATGTTCCTCCATTCCACTCGCTTTAGAGCCAACTGTTTTACTGCATATCTGCTGATGTTATCGACACCTGTAAATTCAGCTGCATCCTCGAGTACACAGGCCATCCAGCCTTTGCGGGGTCGTCCTCTCAGTCTCTTTCCATAGTTTGGTTTCCAATCCAGTAAGAAATTGGGGAACCGCGTCTCTGGCATTCTGACAACTTAACATGTCCGTACCACCTTAGTCTAGCCGCACCGATGAAAGTTTCGATAGACTTAATTCCAGCACGCCTGAGAACTTCTTCATTGGAGACATGGAAGTACCACTTTATCTTCAAGATTCTTCTCAGGGAGGTCAGATGGAAGACATCAAACCGTTTCATCTGCTTCTTTGTTGTGTTCCACACTTCAGCTCCATATAACAGAATAGTAATAACAGCAGCCTTGTAGATACGGATCTTGGTGGGCGTTCTTATAGTTCGACTGTTCCATATCTTCCAAAGCTGATGGAACGCACCATTAGCACGCTGGATCCTGATGTCAAGATCTCGGTCAATGGTACCATCCCCACTGATGTTGGCACCAAGATAAACAAAGTTGCTGACCTGTTCAACAGGTTCTCCCTGCACTGTTAGCTTTATACTGTCTCTTTCGGTGTTAGGTCGCTGGGACGCACACTTGCTGATCGCCATGCATTGTGTCTTTTTAGCGTTGATCTTCAACCCAGCATAAGAGGTGTAATAAGCTATAAGATCAGTGGACTCTTGCAGCCCTTCTTCAGTATTGTCCATCACTGCCAGATCATCAGCGTAGTCACTATCCATGATAACTTTTTCATCTGCACCCTTTAGTTCCTTTTGCAGTACAGCACCATGACTGATTGCCTTGTGAACCTCGGCCAAAAAGATTCCAAAGTTCAGACAGAAATTAAATACAGGAGGGCCCTGGATATCACCCGGTCCAGTGCCCGAATTAATAGAGAACCAATCAGACATTTCACCATTAACCCTGACAGCACTCATGGTTCCGTTGAAGTATGCCTGAAAGATTCTAACATATTTCTCAGGAAGTCCATAGTGTCTCATGCTTGACCAAATAAACTCTCTTCTGATGGAATCAAACGCTGCCTTAAAATCAATGAAATTAACATAAAGTGGAATGTTAAACTCAATGCAGTTGTGAATAATGGTGCGGATGGAATAAATCTGATCAATACATGAGCGGTTCCGTCTGAACCCACACTGATTTTCCCTAAGAAGATACTCCATTCCAACATCCAGCCTCTTAAGAAGAACCATTTGAAGAACCTTAGAAGACGTTGCCCTAAGAGTTATACCCCTATTATTGCAGCAGTATGAGGTGTCTCCCTTCTTTCCGATAACCACTATAACACCTTTAAGCCAATCCTCAGGGATCACCTCTTCCTCCCATACCAGGGACAAAAGGAAATCGCGGCATGTACGGGATCGCGATTTTTCCCATTATTTGCGACAAATTTTATGTATAGTTTAATGTATAGCCTGTTAAATTTCGCGGTATCGCGATTTTTTGCCAAAATAATCGCGAAATCCTTTTGTCCCTGTCCCATACCTTTTTAAACAGTAGCTCTAGTTGGCCAACAAGAGCACTTCCACCATACTTAAGTTGTTCATTAGTTATCTCATCAACCCCTGCACTTTTGCAGTTCTTCAGTTTCTTTAGAGCATAACTAATCTCATCTCTAACGTTACATAAGATTACTTTATTGTATTATATCGTTTGTTTTGTAATTATGAAACAATAATACGTGATATTTCTTATTATTTCATATATTTCTTATTATTTCATATTATTTCTTATTATTTCATAACGCCCCCTCAGTTAAGGCGCAAGATGACAGTTAGTGTAAATAGCACTGTCTCCTTCTGCCAACTAGCGCTAGTTAGCACTACGAAATTGGGGTTTGCGGGATTTTTCGTAAACTGACATAGATAGCGTTCTCTGGCGCAGGATAACTGATGTTTACTAGCACTAGCTACTTACTAGCACTAGCTTAACTAATATGGTCGCCTTTCATCCGCGAAGTGTTTACGTTTTTGACGTCGCGTGATTCGTGGAATCGGGACTACGAGCCATACATAGCTATAGACTTATTAATTACGAATTTAATTTCGTGTTATCGCTAGAGGGTGTTCACAATTACAATTTAATATGATCGTATAAAAGGTTGTGTTATGTATGGCTGAATAACGGTAGCTAGCTGTCACGTTTATCGCAAAAGGACCACAATCCCATCCCACATGTTATCATGATCAGAATATGCTCGATAATGGAAGTAGCAGTAACAAATACCACCTGTCCAGTAGATATTTTAAATTTGCATCGGCACATTTTCTGTCAAATCAAATCTGTCGGCCTTCAGGTAAAATAATAACTCCGAGGGAGACGACCCGCACCCATGTTATATGCGTTATCAAAACCTTCCTCATGTTTTTTCTTGATAGTCATATTTCTGTGGTTTCGCTGTTACAGGCGTGGTGAAGTTAAGGGGCACAGATATTGATCAAATAGGGCTTTTTTGTTAATGAAATTGCTTTCTTGGTGGGTTTTCCTGAACCCCGGACAATCTATTATATATGTGATGGTACCTTTACTGTTTACCTGTATTTTACTATTGGACCACCCAAACCTACAATATTTATGCACCGTTTCGCATCAATGTGTGAATATTTGAGGCATGCTACTGGCAACCCTCCCATATTCACGCAAGTAAGAGACATTTCTACCCTATGGGAAATAGAGCACCCCTTTAATATTGTGATATTCTGATAGGATATGCGTTGTTTCATCCGCCCATTAATAAAGATTAAAGACCTTTCCCGTTTCCAACCAAAACCTTTAACTCAATAATAAGGGCACTATAAATAGTAGCAATAGTAGCAGTAGTACTATAGTAAATATTATAGCACTATAATACATAATAACCAAAGTGTCCTTACTCCTTAATCTGTAAGTTTTGTCTTTGTTTTTAATAATTTTCGCAATTAGAGTCCTAATAATTGAACTATTAGAGTCTTTGCTTCAAAATTTGGTGAGATATTATAATAATATACTCTTATCATTGTTTATACTGACATCAAAATATTTAAGTAAGTATGATAAGAATAGCGAGAGCTCTTATTGATGTGCAAGCTATTACATGATATATGTCGCATATTCTATTATAGCTATTATATGATATATTTTAATACTTTCAACACTACTATATAACAAATAATTTGAGGAAACGATGTAACAGAGTCGATATATTTTAATGTTGCCATGGGGTGGCAAGTCCCCATACATCGCAGTCCGGTAGTTTCATTGCGTCTTAATATGTCGCATATTCTGTCGTAATATTATTCAGTAGTACTTCTAATTGCTGTCATTAGCCCTAACTCCCTAATCTATTGCGTTAATTTATATTGTTTGTACAGCTGTTAGGAAAAACTCGGGCTTCACCTCTAACTTGAAGTGTGTTGTCTGTGAGGACAGTTCGAGTTATTTGTAGATAATTGCAGGTCATAATCAGACATTGTCTCAACAATATTCACAGTGATTTTCAATTTCATTAGCTTAATAATAATATAAAGCCACACGATTTTAGGAATTTGAATTCCATAAAGCCATAAAACATAACTTTTCTTTTTAGCAGATTTTACGATAGTTTGTAGATAAGTGCTTTGGACGTTGCCATTTTAAAGCTTACATTTTTGATATGAGTTTCAATTCATCAAGTTTAACTGTTTAGTTACTGTTTATTCATTCTGTTACTGTTTATTCATGAAACTGTCCACTGGGCCATTAGTGATGTTGAACACGTGACAGCACGTGACAACACGTGACAACACGTGACAGCAATTAAACGCGTTAAGTCGCTAATTCATTCATTAAGCGGGTTAGCCCATCCTTTGATCCTTCCGGTCACAATCGGATGGCAATATTGAAGTGGTAATTTAGATAGATTTAATTAAGATATTCAATAAAATTTAAATATTTATTTCATGCTTGATGCTTAGTACAGAACAATTACTTACTTGAATTGATGCAGAATTATCTCAGTCTAGTGGCAGATTTTCAGTTCTAACGTCGACAGTGCGTCATTACCGTGACGTCACTGTGCGTCATTACCAAGTTGCTTAATTTAAAACAATACGAGAAATTGGTTCTGTTGTACGGATAATATATCCTTCCACTTCTCAGGACTGATTTAAATGACCTTTTTGAACACAAACAAGAAAACAAACACTAACTCTCAATTGCAAGGATCACCATGAAAGTAAACAGTTTGTAGTTGAGATATAAACATCAAGCGGCTTCACCCCACGATCATTTCACTCGACTAAAGCTGTTTTAAAATACTTTTCATTGTGGCCACGTGACACGTCACATGACACGTTACCGTATTGTCACGTGACACGTTACTGTATTGTCACGTGACACGTTACCGTATTGTCACGTGACACGTTACCGTATTGTCACGTGACACGTTACCGTATTGTGTTTTCCACTATTAGACCTTTTCCGTGGCGTCTTTATTTGTTCCACATGTACCTAAAATTCATTTCATTCTATTGTCACCGAGTCTACTTTATCAATATTAGTCTGTAAAACTGTCTTTGAATATCCGCCCAATCCGTGCTTGTCTTAAACACTGTAGTAATGCAGTCCAGGCATTGTTCAGTTTTGTAAATTTCGTCGTGAATTGTTGAACCAGCTTTATCATCGTATGTTGGACATATGATTTCGCCAGTAAATGTTGGACAATATGATTTCATATTGCTTTATCATCGTATGTTGGACATATGATTTCATATATGTTGGACAATATGATTTCGCCAGTAAATACTGTTCTCACTCGAGTCTATTTACAAAAAACTTAATATTTAGTTTCGTCAGTTTTAACATAAGACTCTAAAACGCGGGACGACTTAAGCGAAACTGTATTGAGTGCAAAAATTATAAATTACTTAGGTGCTTATTTTTAAAGTCTTGTAAAGATAACTTAAGTTAAAAACCACCGAATCTTAAGAAATTACGCTATATTACAAGTGAAACTAAGTTAAAAGTGAACTTTACCTTATAAACGCGCCAAAGTGAAAGTGAAACTAAGCTAAAAGTGAAAGTGAAACTAAGTTAAAAGTTACCTTGTAAACTCTCTCCTGTCTGAACTGGTCCTCCTTCATAACATCCTTGGTAAGTCCGAGTTTCTTACTAAAACACTTTATGTAGTCCTCAACTTCCTGTGACGTCATATTGCCACTGCAGAACACTTCCAGGTAGAAACCTCCCATACTTCCTATCTCGTGGTGCTGAGAGAAAGAGCGGTTTACCTTATAGTGAAAGTGAAACTAAGCTAAAAGTGAAAGGATTACACAGGATTTACACAGGATTAGAATTAGGATTGGTGTGCTTGGTGTATTTTAATAGTTTTCATTACTTTTGTTATTTAAATCTAATTTTACTTTTGTAAGTTGCAAATATGTGACAATGAAAAGATCGTTCGTCTTGAAAATTGTGAAGATTGAAAGCAGGGTATTATCTTTGAAACAACAGTTTGAAGTATAAGTTTTGGTGAAGAATTATCAATGAAAATGACTCTGTCACATGGCACACGTACTCCGACAAAATCGCAATGATCTCGGATTAAACCATCTCCATGACAACGAACGGTATTAGTTACATCGCACAGTTACGATTACCGTTAGCTGAAATCGGACAAGTCAGTCTATGAGACTGTTTGACTTGATTTTATTGATCTAGCAGACCATTTGCTTTCATTTCCGGGCCCCTCTTTGTTTGCAATCAATGACCAGCACATGTACGCAAGGTTTAGATCTCATTAATCCTGAAAGCTTAGTGACTAAATTAAAAGGAAGGTTCTAAGTGGAGGTGTTTGTAAGCACTTATATTGATATATGAGATTAACGTGAAGGTTTATCAATACTCCTCGCTTCTCAGTTATCAGCTTCTAGGATTAACTTTACCACCTCATAAATGACCCCGTACTGTTTTCAGCGGTTGGGTCTGAACTTCAGATCCTGAAAGCTGTACAGTAAAACCCCCATTTACCGCGCCCCATTTACCGCGCCCCATTTACCGCAAATCCCAATTTACCGCAAATCCCAATTTACCACGACTGTTTCCGTTCCCCAAACTCCGTGGTAAATCAGGGTTTCACTGTATATTGTATGTAAATTGTATATTTCATATTTATACGATCAATATTTTCGTTGGTTTCAAATTAATAATTTGTTCGTGGAAGGGATATATTTTTGACGCAGTACAGATCTTCCCCCTCAACTTTGTGACATCCATGAAAAAGTATGTGTTATTTTAGTGACATTACGCCTGCATCTGTTCAATAGACACTTTACAATTAAAAACAGGGTAACGACCAGAGCAAATTGTAATTTCCAGCTGAATACGGGGCTGTCTTAAATTAATTGAAGATCTGAAGTGACGCTTGAAATTGGACCCACCTGAGTCCAGTCTATCATTGAGCACTAGCTTGAAATACTTGAGCATTAGCTTGGCGGTGACTGGTGAACAAGAAGTTACGTAGTTTTCAGGTCTTCATGATCACCATCAATCTTAAGATTCACCACTGGATTATATTGGGGCGACTGCGGCTTAATACCATCATAACTGACTTATCGACTTCATACTTAACATCAGCTAACGCTCCCCACAATTGAACATTAGCTACAGACTAACGGACTAACAGACTAACAGACTAACGGACTAACGGACTAACGGACTAAGTCATAGTGACTATTATTTAGTGGTTATAAGAGTAGCAGCTGATGGCAGGTCTTTATATTGTTAGCGATATAATAAAGGAAACCTCTCTTCAGTTGTTACACCTCTCTTCAGTTGTTACGCTTCTCTTCAGTTGTTACGCTTTCTTCAGTTGTTACGCCTCTCTTCAGTTGTTACGCCTCTCTTCAGTTGTTACGCCTCTCTTCAGTTGTTACGCTTCTCTTCAGTTGTTACGCTTCTCTTCAGTTGTTACGCCTCTCTTCAGTTGCTACGCTTCTCTTCAGTTGTTACGCTTCTCTTCAGGTGTTACGCTTTCTTTAGTTGTTACGCCTCTCTTCAGTTGTTACGCTTCTCTTCAGTTGTTACACCTCTCTTCAGTTGTTACGCCTCTTTTCAGTTGTTACGCCTCTCTTCAGTTGTTACAGTTTCCCAACTTGTTATATCATGTTGGATTGACAGTAAGCTTATTAAACTTGTTGTCGGTTTATTCCTAGTTGAGAACTATCAAAGTTTGACAGTTAAGTATAGTTAAGTACTTTTGGCATTACCTGGTCGAGATCATACAAGTTGTTCTGGTGCGGAACGTTTGAAGCATGATAACAGGTTCTACAAGATATTCTCATGGACGTGCGTATATTGATTAAATGTTTATAATTTATAAACGCCTCTTATAGTCATAGTGATAATAATGGGTGCTCTCTGTACAAGATGCCTTGTTTCAAGACTCACATTGAACCAATTTTTTCAGTCTATTCTCGCCTACCAGTACCACTTGAGAATTCAGCACGATTTAAAGATAAACGGCCTGTAAGTTGTAACTTTCTTTGATGTTTTGATATTGTAGAGACTTTAATCTAAGGCGCTGAGACTATTATAATATATAATATACATTATATGCATATTAATATATATTATATTATCAAGAATAAAACTTTTGATAAAATATGTTCTTCATAGTCACGTCATTTAAATTCTGGGAATTGATTTTTGGTTACAATTAAATGCGCATTTGATTTTAGAGCATCGTTACATCACTTTAACCAGGAAACCACCTCCGAGTTTGCCTAGAGGTCGTTACAGGGAGAGAGGGAGAGTATTATTGACTTTGTTTGGTTGTGTGTGTTGTTGCATATCTGTTCTCATCTATAAATATCCTGCAACGACGACCTATAAATATCATAGCTCTCACGTGGTATAAAATGCTAGACGACCCGGAGTTGATCCCTGAGTTGGTTTATTGAGGTTTTATTGGTTTAAATCCGTCAGATATACTAGCAGAGCTACCTATTTTAGCTTGATCCCTGAGGTTCTCCGTAAAGACTGTCTGAGACATGTTGCTGGTTGTTTGATGAATATTATTCCGGTTCATGACATTAACGAATGAGCAGAAATGTGATTTGATTCAGACGTTTTATTTTTACCAGCGTTAAATCCACCATTTCGTTGAGGGAATAATTTGCCGTATATCTTTTGCATTAAACTTGTAATTTTAAAACAAATTTGAGAAACGTTGGTTCTAGATAAAAACTGAGCTATTTACTATTAACTGTTACCCCGATACCGTAATGCAAGTAGAAAGATTCCGAAGGGGGCACCATTTGTTTTGACAGGTTGCATATTTTAAAAGTGTTACCTTGATGTCCTCCGCAGTTATTTGATCCATAGCATCAGCCATCTCCTCGCAAGTGATGTGAGTCTTTCTGAGGAAGGTGTGACGTATGTCTTCAGCACACTTCTTGGGTTTCAGCTTGTTCATTCGTAGCTTCTTTACGATTGAGTCCTGGACGAGAAGTTTTTATAGTTTTATAGTTTTACAGTTTAGAATTTTACAGTTTCATCGTTTTGATTTTTATAATTTAGAGTTTTATAGTTTAGAGAGTTTCATAGTTTAGAGTTTCATAGTTTAGAGTTTCATAGTTTACAGTTTTATAGTTTAGAGTTTCATAGTTTAGAGTTTCATAGTGAGCACAACTTAGAGCAGTTCGACATCGTTTAAAGTCATGATAATACTGATCCTATCATTGACGAGCTATGAAGTAATCATTCGACCTCATCAATGCTGACCTTGTCAGTGACGAGTTATGAAGAAATCAATGAAGACCTCATTAATTTCCTCGTTCCACGAAGATATTCCTCATGTAACTGGATCCCAGGATCCCTTCTCGAAGAATTGGACCTACTCACGTGTAAATGTGACAAATAACCCCAAATAATCACCCAGATTGAAACGAGCCAAAATTTGAGAGATTTTCCTTAAATATCTCAGCCAACTAATCAGCAGATTTTGGGGTTTGGTAACGTGCTTAGACCAATCAAACACTGCCTAGATGTTCATGTGACAAACTATCGCAGTAGCAGTCGCTACGGTTACCCGGGTTTATTATATCAGGGTTAGTACGTACCAAAACGGGTATTTACTTTGAGTAGACGAATTTCACTGAGGTGTGTTCACTCAATTTCAAACCATCAATCCTCTACAGTTTGTTTGTTGCACGTACGGTGCCGGTAGTTCTTATGACCAATCTGCAGTTGGTCATTAGAACTCCCAGAAATTAGAACTCCCAGAAATTAGAACTCCCAGAAATTAGAACTCCCAGAAATTAGAACTCCCAGAAATTAGAACTCCCAGAAATTAGAACTCCCAGAAATAATTTCATTTTTTCAGCCAACACGCCTTGCTGCGATTATTTCCCAGAGTCAGGCACTGTCTTATTATAATATGTAAGTGAAGTGTGGGTTGAACAGGGAATACATTTCCATCAAACTTAGTCTACAACTGTCGCCTAATGTCTAAAGCGTCTGGGGATAATAATAAATGCCAAGCAACACAGACGTTCTAGGTTATCACCAATTCAGACAGACGGCATACCCAGCAATCAGTGTGTTTTAGTGTGTATTAGTGTGTATTAGTGTGTATTAATATTATGTGGGCGGTGGCTGGTAGTATTAGCTAGACACGCTGTTAACAGCTATTAATAGCTCCACTATTTCAGTAACCATTACTAATTAACACATCAAATATTTGCGACAGCAGCCCCGAAGTCGGCTAGAGCCAACTAGTCGGGGTAATGATGTGATACCCCGGCTCGTTTTCACTTTGTATTTTCGGAAGTTGATACCCCATAGTAGATTCTAGACTTTTTTGGAGAGGTAATTAACGTGCAGTCAAACTAAGGACTTAACCGGAATGGTTCTTGTTGTCTGATAGCATTTCTGTACTTAGAAATAATTTTCCTTTCACAAAACTGAGTTTTCCTTTTTACCGTTTCTTGAGATGCCTTTCTTGGATAGTTCGTACTCACTGTGGCCTCCAGATATCAGGTACGTTAGATTCATAAAGTTATTATCATCACGATTATTTTGATTATCATGATAGTTATTATTATGATTATCAAATATCATGGCTATGATAGTTTTTTAGAGAAGTAATAAATGTGCAGTCAAACTAATTTTAATATTATGATAGTTATTATTATGATTATTAAATCATTGTGACAGTTTTGCTATCTGTTAAATCATGGCTTCTCGCCTTTATTTTTCTGAATATAATAACATAGCCACCAACAACGGAGCTGTTTCTTTATTCTCACTATCACAGTTTCATCGTAAGGTGTGTCTGATAAGTGCCTCTAATTACTCCCATAGCTACCGTCATAGCTACCGTCAAAATATCTGGTAAAAGGCTTCTAATGGCTTAAATATAGCCTATAAATAGACTATAATATTTTCTGATAAAGAAAGAATCAGATTTAAAGATTTCAGCTGATCCTTTCCTTAATCTTAACATCTTTATTTGCTGTCTGATATAATGTTCTCAATTAAACGTATTTATTTGTCAGCAATTTGAAGAAGACACATACAGTGTGGTACTGGTAACGTTAACTTAATAACTTAATAACTTAATAACTTAATAACTTAATAACTTAATAACTTAATAACTTAATAACTTAATAACTTAATAACTTAATAACTTAATAACTTAATAACTTAACTTGGTAAATTTTAAACGTTAACTTAATAACTTAATAACTTAATAGCTTAACGTTACTCGAATAACTTAACGTTAACTTAATAACTTAACGTTAACTTAATAACTTAAGATTAATCTTATATAAGATTAATTAAAAAGATCTTGGAGTCGATGTTACTCCTAAGCTAAGTTGGAATAGTCAGTGCGACAGAATTTATACTAAGGCCTGCCAACAACTTGGTATGGTCAGAAGAGATGGCCATATTGTCATTGATCAGAAACGTCGCCGGGCGCTTTACCTCTCCCTGGTTCGTAGCCAATTCGAAAATTGTTCCATAATCTGGCGCCCTTGTAATAAATCACTTAGTGATAAATTAGAAAGTCTCCAAAAGAGAGCTATTAAATGGATTCTGTCTGAAGAGGGCCGCAGTTATCCACCTGAGCAATATGTCAAAAAGTGCAAGCTTGTCGACATTCTCCCTTTGTCTCAAAAGTTTGACTTGAATGATCTTATTTTTTTCCACAAAGTTCTTAACAATTTAATTCCTGTATCGCTGCCTCACTATCTCTCTTTATATCAGGGCACTTCTCGACTAAGACGTTGCCACCTCGACAGTCTGTCTATTGTGTCATCAATTTTACCTAAGTTAAGTCAGAATTCACACACCACATGTACCTCAAATAGCCCACTGGCAAAATCATTTTTCTACAGAACCCATATACTGTGGAATGGACTCCCTTTACAGGTAAGACAGATTGTGTCTACTAGTCTTTTCAAAGCTGAGGTCACTAAGCATCTATGGAAATATTTATTGGATAGTGAAACAACAGTCTAGCCTAGTCTCTTTGCTCCCCATATTATTATTATTTTTGTTTTATTAATTTTTTTATCTACCTTCCTATACTTTCAACATCATATCACACTTCACCCGCACACCTTCTCACACATTAATGACCATTTCAGACCTGTATCTAATGTATCTGGAATTTGACGTATTGAAATACAAATTTTGACTATATATCCACAGTTATTCACCATGGATTTGTTTGTTATTAAATAGTTTTTCATAAATTTTTGGATTTAGATTAATTCGATGTAATGGGTCCAAGTTACTGCGGACATAGTTCACTATGTGTTTACCGTGTTTGGGTGCCCATCATATTTTACAGATGGGGGCGATATTTTGAACGATTCTATTTTATATTCATCTATTGCTGTACTCTGTAAAATTTGAAAAGTATTTAATAAAAAAAAAACTGCAAAACATTGAATGGGCGAACCATTCCTATCAGGAAATTTGCTAAATCGTCGAATTAAAAGTGACGACTCGGCGACTCGAAAACAATAAATAAACGGTTAAATCACAACCACTTCTGAGTAACGTAAAATCGTCTCACGGCTGATAGCGAGTTATTAACCCGCTAATCGCTATTTACGAGGTGTTTTTATTTACCAGCTACCTTATTACAGTTTAAAACTAGCCAGTATGATTATTAAACTAATTAATGGCATTTCGAGCAGTCGCAAATGGTTGCCATTTATTTCTTAGTAAACAAAATCTCGCTGGTTCTAAGTCTGCTCCTTAATAAACTCCTTGTCTAGTTTAACATCTTAGAGTAACTAAATAAATTCATAGCCTGTAGATAAGGAGACTGATAATGCATATTAAGGGGGCAGGGGAGCTGGAGGGGGTAGAGGGGTATGGGTGGGGGAGACCGGGGCCGGGGGTCTTATCATATTAACGCTATTATAACGGTCGGTATTCATCTCAATTCATTATTGTGAATGTCGTTATATTATCTTCAATCTAGGTCGTTCAATAAGATCGCAAGTTATGAATATGAATAATGTAACAGGTTGATATGATCGCAGACCACAGACTTCACTAAGTCTGTATTTCTGTGGCAGAGCATGGCAACTTGACATAATTCTTTATTCCTATGGTCCTTACACCACTAACATTTTCTGACAAAAGGGCTTTAAAAATATCACTTAAAAATCTGAGGTTTTTAAGCATCTTTGACACATTTGTGACAAATTTTTTATTTTGCATCGAGTCCGCCAACAAATAACACCACTCTAAGCTTCATCATTACGATACAGTAAAACTATTGGACTACGATAAATGAGGACTTGCCACCCCATGGCAACATTAAAATATATTGACTCTGTTACATCGTTTCCTCAAAAATGTAATATATTTGTAGTGTTGTAATTAGTTTAAAACGTTTAACGAATTCAGAATATCAAAAATGGTCTTTCAGCGCATTTTTTAGAAAGCAGCAGACCAGCCGGGCCCGATAAGGACCTTATGGTAACTAGTAGTGTAACTGTGGTAACTAGTAGTGTAACTATGGTAACTAGTAGTGTAACTATGGTAACTAGTAGTGTAACTATGGTAACTAGTAGTGTAACTATGGTAACTAGTAGTGTAACTATGGTAACTAGTAGTGTAACTATGGTAACTAGTAGTGTAACTATGGTAACTAGTAGTGTAACTATGGTAACTAGTAGTGTAACTATGGTAACTATTAGTGTAACTATGGTAACTATTAGTGTAACTATGGTAACTAGTAGTGTAACTATGGTAACTAGTAGTGTAACTATGGTAACTAGTAGTGTAACTATGGTAACTAGTAGTGTAACTATGGTAACTAGTAGTGTAACTATGGTAACTAGTAGTGTAACTATGGTAACTGGTAGTGTAACTATGGTAACTAGTAGTGTAACTATGGTAACTAGTAGTGTTACTATGGTAACAACAAGGAACCCATGTAAATTGTAAAGTACTAGTAGGAAGTGCTACACCACGTACCAACACTACCTGATACCGAGCCTGGGTTTAACTGATATCCAAGGCAATTGTAGGTGTTATACAGGATTAAACAGAACAGCTCTTGCTCTTAGGTTCTTGTATTATTACACTGAGCACTTGTAGACTGAGCTGTTCACCCTTGTAATGTTGGTCGACAGCAGACGTAGGATATCTTGTATGTGGTCTAGTTCAGCCTTGTATAGTCTAGTATAATAGTCTAGTATAGACTAGTATAGTCTAGTATAGTCTAGTATAGTCTAGTATAGACTAGCATAGTCTAGTATAGTACAATATAGTATAGTATAATATAGTATAGTATAGACTATAGCCCACTATAGTCTAGTAGAAAAATCGTTCATTTCAGTATTTAAATTTAATGTTTCCAAAGAATTTCGACTGAAAGGAATACACAATTTTCTGCTTTCTTGGGCTTTCTTGTATTACATACAAGAAAGCAGATATTAGCGATTTAATCCAATCTCCATACCAAGAAACTATCATGATGCGCGAAATTCTTCATTATTCTGCGATTCAATCTAATCTGTGAGTATTGAACTGGACTCGAATAAATATACAAATATACAAAAGTTTAAAGTTCGCAGCCATCTTTTGAATTTGTTCGATGTTAATATTGAACGTTTACGATCTTGTATTGTGAACGCATGTCATGTATTATTACATATCACTATTTTAAGAATCGCAGCATGCATATTGTTATAATGGTTTACTGTTTGAATATAAAGCTCGCGCTTGTTAAGTAAGTGTACGTGATATTATGAGCTGTATCTACTTCAAGTGTTCCTTTACTTTACGTACGTGCCGTTAATCTTTCATGACACAAATCTTTTCAAGAAATTTCATTTTCTTAGTTTTTTAAATACTTTGCGCCTTTCTATTTTTGGAATTTGGAGGAAGTTTAAAAGCGGATAATATAATTACTAATCTTTGGTCCATACATATTATAATATTATTATAATTCACTTCTAGCTGTTTAGTCTATTATCAATCAGTCACATAACTACAAATTAAACAAAATGGAATATTAAAGAGAATGTTGTAACAAATAGGCGATCAGAACCAGTGACTAACCTTAACAGCGGTAAAGTTGAAACTGTTCTCTGAAGCATTGAAGAACTCTTCTAGAGTTGATTTGAAGTACTTGAACATTTTGTCGCTGTAACCATCGTAACAGAGCCTGAACCCTTCTCGCTCCACTTCTACAGTTGATCTATGAATATTTGAGGTTCAGGAATTTAATGAGATTTCCCCTCAGTGAATTTGATAATGAAAACTGGGCTGAACTACTAGGAGGAAAACCATCAGAAACCGTTCAGAAACCACTTTTTGGAACCGCGCCAAAATGTCAATATTTGTCATAAATATTATGTCAAAGGTGGTTAAAAACTAAGGATTTTTGAGTGGTATTTAAGCCCTTTTGTCAGAAAACGGTAAATCTAGGGTTAATACTAATTCCAAGGCTAAAGTTTGACTAGAAGTTAGTGCCAAAATTTGAACATTTAAGATTCAGGAATCCGATGGGATTGTCATTTAATAACAATTCAAAATAGTGATGAGATATAAGTTATGCGTGATTGTTTGATGAATGCCTTGAAAGCCAATCCTAACTTATTATGAAATAATAATATATTCTTGTTGAGTAAAGAAGACTGCTGTGTCCACTCGGCCATGATCAACATCTCAACATGATCAGGTGACTAATACCCACTAATTGACAAAATACTCAATTAATTGTGAAGGTTGAAATTTAAACCAGAATGTAAGCTTTTATGTTAGGATTAAGGATTAAATTAGTTGATTGAAAGGTTGCACCAACAAAGCAATGTTAACTTGACGTTAACTTGACGTCGACTGTCACTTATAGGATTTCATAGTAACATTAACAAATAAAATACAGGTTTGCTATGCTGTGGGACTACGAAGTACGAACCCCCTCCAGCCAGTCTCAAGCTTGTCGCCTTGATAACCTTGATAGCTCAAATTATTTGTTAAAAAATGTTGTAGTATTGAAACTAATATTAACTAATGTTGACACTGCTGGTAAGTCCTAAGTAAGACAGTTGAACCCGTACTCTAACTTCACGGCATTTTTAACATTACATTCTGGACTGTTCCGATATAGGTCCAACATCTTGTACGTAGGTTATATTATGAAAGTAACGCGTTCTGCAGGAATCTCGTCCATTCTTTACTCTCGAACTAGAGACTGTCGGCTCTCAACGTTCTGACTCTTATTTGCCTTGTAAGTTCTGGACCTGATTTTTGGTCGGCACTCTTCATTCCATCTTAATTCCACCACATCTTCATAACCAGCCCCTAGGCCCCCCCCCCTCCTCACTCCTCATTCCCATGTGAGCCAACTGTACAGTGCGTTTCTGTCATCATTAAAGTTACAGGCTCGTCTGACTTATTACAACTTTACAATGATGTGGTACACAGGGTAGTGTTCCAATAACAGGTTAATTACAGACCCATCTAGACTACAATCCCCTCACCACTTTAATATTCCCCGCTCCAGCCTACATCTCGAGTGGGAACAGATGGTAGAAAGAGAGGAAGGAGGGATAAAGAGAGACAAGGCTCTCTTGTACGTAGATAGACAGAGCTCGCATTGTAGGAGTGTCTATAACAGTTCACTGTTCATAACTGTTCATAACAGTTCATAATATGTTGAAGATTCATGTGCTCACGTGGCCTTTATAAAACTTCCAGAATAGATCAAGTCTTGATTGGACGTGGTCTTTAAAAGCTGCATAGAATGTTTAATTATATCAAATATTATTATATTTTAATTCGTTTGCCATATTGTGTTTATCTGAATTGCTGACTAGCACCCTCATACCCTCGTTGTGTTCTAAGGCTGCTAAAACCGCTTGTAACATAGCTGCCATTGTTCATATTAGTGTTGTAGTAAAACTTACGGCATAAAAAGCAATTCAACCGGCCTTTAGTTTGCCAGTTTTAATTAACTCTTTACAAAGTTTAATAATTTGGTGCCAATGGGACAGCAACTTTCAGTCCATTTGTTTCATGTTCCATTATATTATATTAAACTGCCTTTTATTCCTTTAACAGCCTTTAAATAGTCAGGGACCGGGGTTGCGAATTGCTGTTCAATTTGTGACGACTTGCTTACGCATTACAGTAAAACGTCAATCAACTTATACAGCATTTCAGTACAGTAACATTACAGTAAAATTTACAGAACCAAGCAGTACATAACGGCGTCAGGTACTGCTTGGTTCAGTTCTGTCTGTTTATTGTTTAATCACAGTATTCACGGCGCTCACTAGTATTCTCGTTCCAATACAGTATAAGCGTTCAGTTTGGAGACGTTCTTTTGTCTCTGTATTGTAAGCCGCTTACGGTCTGCTCGCTCCAGGATCAGCCTCTATTGTACCGTGCAGCTTGGGTTCTAGTTTCTAGACACAATTCCAGAGTTTTATAATTTTAATCTACTTAACTACTCAGTAGTACGACTCTCCTCTCACTATACCCCTGGTACATTCCTCAATAATGGATTGAATTTAGGTTTCCCATAAAATTGTTGCTATAAGTATAATTGATTAAAATAAAATTTGTTGTTTTCTTGCTTCTCCACCGTTAGTTTGACCAAGTGTAACCCTTTGAACCGAGAGTTACTCTCCAGACCTAACTACCGATACTCGGATAGTTCAACACAATATATATTCTGTGGTCTCAGATAAGTTATCTTACCAAATAGATATTATGCAACCTTACTAGCAGCCTGCAGCTGCAACTATCGTCAGATTAGCGGTATAAATAGAATATGCAGTCCCGGTTAAATTGTTAACGTTTAATACATAAGTACGACACGCCTCTGTCTGAAATAGATTCTATAAATATTTAACAAATAATTTGCTGATCCATTCATCATATTATTATATGTTGTATAGTCTTAGTTTTAACGATTTGTAAACTGATATTTAAAATCCAATACAATCCGATAAAGTGATAAATACCAGAGCTGCATTATTGTAAATTACTTATTAAATTGCATGTCTTTAATTTTGAAAGTTACAAACATTGCCTTGTACGACAGTTGGGGGCGTTTTATTCAATTATCTAAACAATTTCTATTTTGCAGACAGTCTCAGATATTTACGCTATTTTTGGTGTTCTTAATTCCCAGTCTAGAGGCAGTCAGATGATTTGTGATAGTCGGCATGTTGTCGGCATGTTGTCGTGTCGGCATGTTGTGTAATTGTGAACTATTCAACTACCTGGTCTCTGCTAAAAGCTCACATCGTGTCTATGTATGAGATGTATCTGGTTCACAAATTTGTGCCCTCTATTTCTATAATTATATTTTTACAATTCTCTGTTCGTAGGAAATGTTAGTGTGATTGCTTTGTTATTCCGTATCCAAGGGATAGAAATTGCCGAAACAATGAAACCCACCCAATGCAATTGCTCAATGATCTGAGTCCAAAGACTGAAATAAATCTTAACGCCAGTTCCACGCGTGATGGTTGTCTTATATAAGATATGAAGAGAAGTACACTTAATTAAATTCGAAAGTACTTGAAAATTAGTAAAAGAGCTCTTGAAGGTTATAACATCTTTTTAATAAAGAAGTAGCTGAAATGAGCAGCAGATGTGAGTTGTGGAACTACAATAAGAGTTCTTAGTTATAATACTTAACACTTGATTAACACTGAGTACTTTCTCACATCTGTACCAGCCCTTTGAAGATCTTAGTTTGATTCTTCTTTATAGCGCTTTCAGAACTCGAATTCTGAATAATTATTATTTCGTTTGCTTTCTGCACGGTTTTGAATATTCAATACAAGAGAATACAAGGCCAGGTCTCTCCCGAACGTTGGGATGGCCTGAAGTGCTTACCTCCTTTTCAGTAACCCTCTGTGCCGAGGCACTATACTAGCTATAGGGGGGTTAGTCCTACGAGCCAGAGAGTGTGTATCACCAGCCGAATATTGAATATTCAGGATTGCTATATTCAGGATTGCTAAAGTAGTGGATGACCTTGCTGTACGGCAAGTTAAACAAGGATCTGAAACTACTAGGTTCCGTACAGACTCAACTCTGCACCCGTGTCAATATGTTCATTATATGCAAGCCTCTTGATTTATAATATACTGTGTTCTACTGTAGAATTACTTACTTTGTGTTACTTTATATAGATTCTCTTCTGGACAGTATGAAGTAAGTCCTCCAATCATTCCTAGTATAGACCTTTTTAAAGAACCAGAAGAGAGTTATTTGTGATGGTTGTTTACCCTTTTGTGGGTGGGGTATCCGGGAAGCCTTTCAAGAATTTAGCAAGAGAGGATTTTAAGTTTCCAATATATTTATTGAGTTTACTCCCGCGGAGAGTAAGTTCCATGTCTTAGCTGCTACTCCAAAAGTGTTCTCATAGTAGGTTGAGATCAAATTATTAATTATTAAGATCAAATTGATGATAAACAGAATCTCGTGCTGGCTGTTTAAGTTGACCCAAAACTGGTCCCGATAGAAAATATTTTGCAACATAAAAATTACATTTTCTATCTTTAACGGCCAGGTAGCGCAGTTGGTTAGAACGCCTGTCTTACAATCGTTAGGTTGCGAGTTCGAAACCCACTGACTGCCTGGTCGTGGGGTGAGCGTCGTCGACGTTCAGCTAAGGATCATGAGTGGTCTATGCAGCCCCCCGGTCTACTCAGCCGAATACTCGAGAAATCGGGTGTGAGGGTTAAATGAGGAGCTGCACATTGCAGCAAAGTCTCGGACGAAGAAAGTATGGTACACACTACCTTAACCGTCACTGGCCATAAAGATCCTTCGGCTTCCTGTAATTGGCTGGTTGCACTTGTGTAACATTGTGGCTGTTGGAATACACCGAAGTAAAATAAGTGTCTAGATAAAAAAAAAATGGCTTATTAAAAGATACACTTTTCAACAGGTCAACAATCATTAGCGCCTTTCAAATGAATCATTTAAAATACTCAATCTTTACCGGAAGTTTTTGTTTCTTTTATTACCTTTGCAATTTAGTCAGGTGGCTGGACCTCTAGAAAATTTGCTATCACAGGCAACAGTTTTGTGTACGACGTTTCTCATTTTAGCTAAAATCATAATTTGTAGCTTTCTCTAGAAGTAGACTCTAAGGCGTCCCTTGCTAGTGGTTGATTCGTTTTGAAATACGAACCATTATGTGATACAAAATTGGTATGTATACAAGCATTG